GGCGGCGGCCTTTGCGGAATTGGATGCTGGAGAGCGAGGGGGCGGGGCACTTCCGGGAAGCGCCTTCGACACGTGATTCGCCGGCACGCGCGCGGCGACGCGGGCGCCCGCTGAGTACCTGCCTCCCCTCCCCTTCCGCCTCTCTGCGGCTTTTAGGAAGGCCCCAAAGACCTCTCGCATTGCCCGGCTGCAGCGAATGGTACAGACTGCAGATAAGCTAGAATACGTCTAGCCCTGAGAGGTCTTGTTGTTCATTCCCATTGATGTGTGCACCACTACTTTTCATGATCGTTATGATTGCCTGTTTACTTCGTACTCTGAATTGCTGCGTTTCGAAATTTGTTCTTTTTTATTTCCTTTATATTATGAGTTACCTATGTATGAGGCGAGACAAATAAAATATATGTACGAAGATTTAACTAGTGATGAATTCATTATCAATATTTGTGACTTTAAGTATTCACTTGAAAAACAATTTATTCAATTCCGCTATCAATTGTATGTACAGTTTTCCGATAGCATGTGTGCACCTCTAAGAGCAAATTTGGAATGCGGTGTTGAAAGCTAGTAAATGTTGTGCTGATTGGGGTTGTGAATTCTTAATATTCGGGCATTGTCTCTTTGCGCCTAAATTTGCTGTATTGCTACCCGTCGTACACGGCTGCACTACGGGTTGCAGCATTCAGGCGTATCTCTCAATTTTTAGCGAAATGCAGTACCTGCTTCACTCATTATTCCTGCAAGATATTTTTATTCATTTATTTAAAATTGATTTCATGTTTTAGCTCCGGTTCCTTGCAATGGGTTGTTATGAACATTCGGCTTTTTTTTTAATTCTAAATCTTCATTACTACTATACAGTATGAGAAACATAATTATTGAAACATGCAGTATCCGTATAAGTATCTCGCAGTGTTTGTGCTGCTGCGCTCCGACCTCTACACCAGGCATTTTGAGATCTTGGTCGTGTACATCTAGGCTGTGATATTCGCAGACCGCTTTGTGGGCAGATATTTGGCGTTGCATCTGCATTAACTGTCAGACACGAACTTAAATAGTCCTCTCCAATATCGTAATCTTTCGGCCTAGAAATCTGGGTAGGGCATGCTACTTTTTTTGCTTGACTCTCATAGAGCGTACCCTCATTTGCGGGAATAAATTATTATTATTATTATTATTATTATTATTATTATTATTATTATTATTATTATTATTATTATTATTGCTATCGTTGCCCACATAATGCATAATTTGCATAATTCTGGTATATACGAGTACTGTACCAGAATGAGTAACCGGGAATATATTAAATCGGTCCGATTAAAAGAAGTTGGTGATTGACAGCTGCCAGTGGAAAGGAGCGACGTTGACAGCGTATCGCTGAACACGTGTTTCCGGGACAAGAAAATAAACACTTGAAATAAATACTTCTTACAAAAGCAACCAAATCGCATACTCGCGTTGTGTGAAGCAGCCGCTGCAGAAACACATCTCTCAATCGCCGACTTGCTTCAACCGGACCGCAGTGGCGCGAGCAGGCGCGTGGCCCGGCGACCTTTCGGCGCGTAGCGTCGCTGGCGGCGGCCGCCCCTGACAAATGGCCGGCGTGTCGCGCGGCGCGTGGGCGGTGACCGGCCGGCGAAATACCCCTCCCACCGCATCGAGCTATCGACTCGCACGCCGACCTGGCCGACCCCTCCCCCCTCTTTTTCTGCTTCCGGCTTTGAGCTCGCTGCTCGCTGCCCGCTTCGGAAGAGCGCTCTTGGAAATTGGAAATCTGTCGTTTGTAATATTTTTCTCGCGCTATAGTGTGGAGTTATTTTGGGGTAATTTCGATGTATGTTGAATAGTGCGTTTGGATCGAGAGAATCGGATTAGAATCTACGACGTTTACACTGTGTGAATTTTCCGTTGTTGAAGAATTCGTTGTTTGTTCTGTCGCGCTCTGTCTTTATGCAGAACGGAAAACCCTTACCCATACCCATCACCGTCAGCCTCCGCTAATATCAGACATCCGTGAGTCTCGCCAATGTGTTGTATTCCAAAGAACGGATAGAGCTTATCTTGACTAGTGTTTCACCTGTATTACTAAACTATTTCTTCTTTATAAACTACGCTCAGTCCGGGCATATCTTCTCCTCTTATTGTTATTATTATACATTTCATTAATTCATTCCGTTGGAAGCAATAATCTTATTGTTGGTCAGTACAGCCAATTGATACAAACCCTCAGTGTTACATCGTTTACACGGACTACGAACGGTACAGCATGTATCAAGAATCACTTAATGTATTATTATTGTTGTTGATATATGTACATTTCACCCCGTGGTCACTGTCGTAAGTTTGACTAGGACTGCGTAGGAAAATATGTTTCTGTTCCGCAACTCTTAACTCTCATTACAACTCTGCAAGTACTTAGCTAAAATGTGATTGGTTTTCCCGTGCTTTCCAGGCGACCGTCCTGCGTCTGGCGGGCGTGCGGAGCGGAGGCCCGACCCGCTGCGCGAGGAGGAGCGCGGCGGCGTGGGCGGCGGCGGGAGCGGCGGCGGCGGCGCGGGGCGGGGGGCCGGCCGGGGGCGGAGGCCAAGCCTGACGGCTCGCGCGCCGCCCCCGACGACGACGCCCACGACCCGCAGCACGCGCACCACCACCACGACCTGTGAGTACCACCCCCACCACCACTCCAAAAAGGGACCGCTTTGGCGGGGGCGGGAAAGAAGACATCGTCGTGCAGGGCGATGGCATTGCAAGAGATGAAGCCATATAGAAATGAGCTAACTGTAGGGTACAGTCTTATATAGCGGGGGTGTTTACGAAAACTTTATACACTTAACTTACAAGTAAGTTCTATACTTATATGTACTGAATAATTATGCATGTATACATGAACATAACCTGCGGTTATGTTGCCAGCAGTAGCTGTCAAAGCGGTCCCTCTTTGTAGTGATTTCTCTATAACAGTGGGCACAATTTGGGCCGAAATTTCGGCTGGCTGACGTCGGACCGTTGCGTCCGGTGTACCGGATCCGTTCAATATGTGCTGACAAACAGAAATGGTCCTTGTGAACCACAACAGTCCTCTTCCGTCAGCATCCGAAAACATCGGATCTCATTCGAACTGTTTCGTTTGGTTTTGTTCGGCCGACCGCAATTTCGCCCGAAACTGGATCCACTGTGACGGAAGGACAGTAGTCTTGGAACACTCGATATCGTAGTTAATTTCTGTGGTTTTAGAAATATAAAATCTGCGTTGTAACGTGCAGTGCGAAAGGGCAAAACGAGAATCTCCCATTTATTTATTGTATCGATATCTCTGTCATGAAAAAATAGAAGTTGTCTCTACCGTCGCGATTGACTAAGGGGAAGTTCGATCGTATTTTCGTCTGAATAGTATAGTGTTTCCCGGTAATGACAACTAATTTTAGCGTTTTAACCTTTATTCGTTCACAAATTGAAGTTTGCCTTGTCGAGGTTGCTTATTTCTAAGTTAGAGAAAGTGCGAATATGGGGGACCATTCATTTATACTATTATGTAATATAGTGGTACGCGATCGCACAATTGATACGTTTGTAATCATACGTAAACACTCGTAGACAATATTGTAATCCTGTAGAAATTCTAGGACTCTTAATAACGTAATAAGCAATTTTTAAAGAAACATCAGAATTGGTTGCGAAGTTGTTACTCCCTTGCTGTAACAGAAGGGCAAGTGACACTGATGGTGACGTTCCGTTGTTCAATGTGCACAAGCACTAAGTGCTCCGCTCTAAGCGCTCCGCTCTAAGCGCTTGTTCGGAATCTTGGAGATTTCTTCCTTCGTAGTATTCATTGTCCGACTTCACTTCGCTCTTTCGCCAACAGATCGCGCGTGTGTCTTATCGCTGAGGATACTAAAGCGGAAGTATGCGAATACAAACTACTCGTTGCATCAGTTTTTTCAGGCGAGAGCGTTTGAAACAGTTTATTTCGTTTGAAAATTGTCGCTTACTCGACTGATATTTTCGAAGAAAAAAAAAAAGAATGAAATGAGCTGGTTCTTAGCACATTTCGTTTATGTTTCTTAGAGCTTTCCGCTCTATGGAATGGTCTGGCCCATTCTAGAAAATTAAGAGGTTAGTCAGGAAATTCCTGTTTCTTTCCTATCGATTTAAGTATAGGACGTTATAATTTTAGTTATTTGGATTCAACGAGAAGCAAAATCATCTTCTGCAGCCTGAAAGGGTAAGTATTATTTTGTTCGATGACTACTGATCCTTGAATTTTATGGCTCCAGAAATGCAAGACTATTTGCGTTATTTTGAAAGTACTTTTTGTGTAATTCAGCGGTTTGCTGGAAATCAAAGAACAAATCAAACTGAAAATGACTAGTTTTGCATCTCGATGTGTTTTGCATGCACTTTTCAGCGTGCGTGGTGGCAAATCCAGCCGGATTTTCGTTCTGTACTTTCCTCTTTCTCCGGTCGTTCGCTTGAAATTGTGCTCGTTGTTTGTATTCTATTACGTCCTAGAATGTTGCATTATTTGTTAGAAGTTGTCCTATTTTGTCTTGATGTTAATATTTGAATATTCATCACACATGTTACAACGAAAAATGTCAGGGCTTTCGTTTCAGATTTGCTCCTCAGGTGTGAATAAATTCGTTCGTATTAAAAACGTTCTCTTGTGTTGTTTTTTTTCGCTTTCTACATTCGGAAAGCTTGTATTGTAGTCATTCCGTCTTGCGGGATAGCAATTGCATCCTCCTATTCTCGTTCATGTCGCCTGTCGATGGTATGAATATGAAGGAAACATGTCCAACTAATATTAAGTAAGATTGGCGGGGAGAGGTAGGCAAAGAGTGCATATTAGGAGAATATAATGGCGTTTTGACGTTCGTAAAATGTTGATAATGTTCTTTTTGGGGGGGGGGAATCACAAACTTAACGTCTCTAACATACGCTAGAAGTTCGTCACAGATAGATTCTGGCCGTCTCCTAGTGGTTTGCACCTAGTGGTTTGCTGCGGCGTATGTTGTACCCCAACAAGAAAATAAACTCCCACCTCGCCAGGGTTACTGGCGGGGGGAAAGTAGAGGGAAAAAAAAAGTTCGTCACATTTATTTTTGGAGACAGCGTGTATGCATCAACGTTTCGGCGCCAGTTTTAGTGCCTTCATCGGACTAAATTAAATAATTTGGAACCTTCAGTGCCCGAAGCGTGGAAAGACGCAGCACTGAAAGTAGCCTCTCTTTGTGTGTGGCGAGAGTCGCTGGCCAACGGCCCGCGGGGAGCGTCACAGCGCGTCGGGTCGCGTGCTCGCAGCGGCCGTAATCGCCCGCGACCGGAAACCGCCGCTCCGCTCCGCTCCGCCCTGCGCCCGGCCCTCGGCCCTCTGCCCTCGGCCCTCGGCCCTCGGCCCTTGGCTCCCGCGGCAGCGTCGCGTGCCGCGGGGAAAGGTCGCGGCCGCGGTGCTTGACCCGGGCGCGTTGCTATTTCATGATGCGCCGTCGCGGGGGAAGGCGCACGCTTTTTCAAACCGGGGAGGGGGGGATGAATGTCACAGGGAGGCCACATTATGTAAAATCGGGGAAAAATCGATTGACCATTTTCTAGTCTGCGAAAATGTTGGGAAACTAGATATTACTCTTTAAAAATGTTAATTCAGAATTACAACAAAACTGTTATTAATGATACAACTGGTAAAAGCGCTTTTGCCACGTGTGTCACACTATTTTTTGGAAGCCTTACTGACTTTTTGTCCATCTTTTCTTTTGATTCTTTTTGTAATTTTGTTTTTTTAGTTCTTTTGTCACTTTATTCTTTTGCTCTTTTTTGTCCTTGTTTGTTGAACATCGTCTCGCTTTAGCTAGTGCTAAAAATTGAGCTTCTACCACGCTACGCTTGCCCTGAAAGAGCTTATTTTAGAAGTGGCTCTCTAAAAATACATTTTTTGCTCGGTTTTTATTTGTCGAAAAAATAGTATGTGTACCTTTACACCTGACCTGACCAATTAGCATCAGAATAGCTTTAATTCTTTAAATAGTGTGATATTGTAAATACCATGGGAAAAAATTAAAGGATGCACTGGCATACGGGGCAAAGTTAGGGAAAATTGTTGCAGGAAATAAGTAGCTACCTTGTAGACAGTAATTCTGATAAGTCAGGTAGGGTGGTGGATGGAATTATGTGGTATGTTGTTCGCAATCGCCTCATTTATTTTATGTAAATGTTTTTGGAATATCCAGCTAATGTTAGAGTCAAGATTGCTATGGTTACATTTGTTGGCCTGCGCTGTTACTTTCTGATTTTAATAAAATCATCACAACATTTACTGCAAAAAGGTGGGTTCCCATCCGTGGAACTTTTCAATAAAAATACCTTATCATTGATCTGTATTCTTGGAGATTTAAAAAAAGTGTTCTTTGGTATTGAGGACACGTGTGTATAAATGTGTGTAAAGCTAAAAATGGTAAATAGATTTCAACTTGCACTCAATTATACATTTTTCTGGAGTCGTGATTCATGATAATGCTTATGTGGGCGTATTTTGTTCAATAAATAAAGCTTATCCAACTCATTTTTTTCATTTTACGTTCTTAGGTCATGTAAGGAAATTATCTTTAAAGGTTCATGCAAGGGTTTTAACGTAAAAGACATCCGTTAGAGATTTTAATTAAGATTTTTTTAAATTCTCGTTACCAAAGGCTGGTCTAAGCGACTTTTCAACTTCTCTTACAGTAAAATTTTATTTAAGAAATGTGTGCAAGTAAAACATACGTTCAATTTGTCAATTTTGGATGAATTTACTCTCTATTTTAGCACAACCGAGCATCACTATCTCGATTCTCAAAGGAGAGAGTCATAGTTAAAAGCGCCCACAAAGGCTACGCACTGTTTAATGAAACGGTAATTCTCGAGTTCATTGTATTTTTCTTGTTAACGCGCCACTGGTTCACAATCCACTCATGCAAATAACGGTTCGGGTCACTGAATCGCGCGAAGCAAATGTCTCGGAGGTGAACCGAGCCGCCAACGCGTGAATCGCAGCGTTGCGCCGCGAGAGGTGGGTGGGCCGGTCGTTCCTCGAAATCGCACATGCGACGCATGAAAGGGCACATTCGCGGTGCGTGGTACGTTTCGGTTTTCCCCTTGTGAGTTTGCGCAACGCTCCCAGACCGCTAGGTTTACAATGTCTCTTGCAGAGTGAAACTAGCTTCACATCCCCAGGTTTAACAAAAGCTATTTCCGGGACATGTTTGCGCTAGCAGAAGTTTAGGGCGGTGGAAATGTGCTTAGTTTCGAAGAGAATTGAGAAGCGACATTTTCCTTCGGGGCTATGTTCTCTTGAGGGTTGTGGCCACCCGATGTGTATTGTACGGATGAAACCTCAGAGATTCAGAATGAACCCCTTTGTGGTATGAGCCACCAAATTCCACTCAGCAAATCTTCCTATCTCACTGACCTTCCTACGTGTGAATTCTCGTGATGCGCTGACGGGGGTGGTGGGTGGATGGTTTACTCGTGGTCCGTTACGGAATAAATAGATGTACCCGAATAGATTTCTTAAAACTCTCCAATGCTATTTATAAATTATTAAAAATAGTTTTTAGTCGTAAGTTACCAATACATGTGTGAAGTAAAAGAAAGTGAACCGATTCTTCTATCTTCTTGAACCGATCG